GGGTAAACTCATAAACTGTTCACCCTCTATAACACTGATAGAGAGATACGCACAGCTGTTTGCCCCCCCCAGGTATTAATACATACTCTGGGTTAATTAATAAGTAAAAGATGATTTTATTAAATACAAAAAGTAGGATTTAAGTGGTTCCAAGTAATAACAGACAGAACAAAGTGAATTACCAAGCAAAATAAAATAAAACATGCAAGTCTAAGCCTAATACAGTAAGAAAACTGAATACAGATGCAATCTTGCCCTCAGAGACGTTGCAATAAGCTTCTATCACAGGCTAGATGCCTTCCTAGTCTGGGCCCAACCCTTTCCCCTGGTACAGCCCTTGTTCCAGGTCAGGTGGTAGCTAGGGGATTTCTCATGACTGCAGCCCCCTTTGCTCTGTTCCACCCACTTATATATCTTTTGCATAAGGCGGGAATCCTTTGTCCCTCTAGGTTCCCACCCACCCCCTTCTCACTGGAAAAGCACCAGGTTAGAGATGGATTCCAAGTTCAGGTGACATGATCACATGTCACTGCAAGACTTCATTACCCACTTGCCAGCACACACCTATACAGGAAGACTTTCAGGTAAACACAGCCACCTACAGTCAATTGTCCTAGTTGATGGGAGCCATCAAGGTTCCAAACCACCATTAATGGCCCACATTTTGCATAATCACAATAGGACTCCAGAGTTATATTTCATATTCCTAGTTTCAGATACAAGAGTGGTACATTTATACAAATAGGATGACCACACTCAGTAGATTATAAACTTTGTAATGATACCTTACAAGAGACCTTTTGCATGAAACATATTCCAGTTACAAATTATATTAACTCATTAGCATATTTTCATAAAATCATATAGACGGCAACATCACAAGTATTATTAGACTTTTCAGTTTCACATCAACATTATCAGTGTGTAACAAAAATGGTTTATCAAAATCAGGTTTGACTAGAACAGGCTTTTTTTGGTAAGGTTTATCATGGAAATAACAATGTTACTGAATCCCCTTACAAACCCATGGTAATATTTGACTAGGTCAATAGCGAATTGGACCTTTTGTGATCTTGCCCGAAGTTCTTGAAAATAGCTAGTTTATCCCTATAAGCTCCGACCTGGTGTATCTTCTGTGCCAACAACTATAGGCAAATTTCCCCCTCCCTTGTCAGACCGGTAATTTGCATCAACACCGACACTAGTTATCAAATTCTCATCATTGTGCATACCGCAAAATTTCATTTCCTTTCTTAGAGTTGACTCATTCTCCCCATCAGCAGGCTCGGGTCCCTTCCCCCTCACCTTTCTCCTAGAGGGTTGAGATCTGGACCTCCCTGCTTAAAGAATCCCGTGGCTGGCCGGGTGTGTCCACCAACTGCAGCCCCTCTGGGCTCTGAGCATCTACCCGGACACTCTCCTGCATTCTTGCTTTTAGATCCACCATCCAGAGACTGGACTCGATTTACAGGGACATAATCAATTCCTACCAACAAGTCAGAATCAGGATTTCTGCTTACTCTCCTCTCTCCATTCTTGGTTCCACATCGGAGCAGACGGGCCCGAGCCCACCTCTGACCCCTCTCCCTGCTCCTAAGGGCTGAACTGGCAATTCGCCTGCAGAGCCCTGGAGCTTCCTGTTTGCAGCATTATAAAACCTCAGCCTTCGCTGCCCATTGGCGCTTGGGAAAATCGCCTGCAGCACGGACACAGCCTGTGGGGTCTGGGCACACGGGGTGAGTGCTTGCTTAGCTCTGTGCCGCTGTTCTGCTGATAAAACTACACAGGATCTTTTCAGGGGACAAGGCAATATGCCACGTTTATTATGATAACACAATTTGATTTATAACCAATAGCTAATACCTAATACCTACGTACACACACACACGCACATCAAATGTTCTGCAGGTGCTGGATAGTTACCAGTCCTGAACATAGCTTGAGCCCGTAGCCTGATTTCGCAGCTTGGGTTCGTAGTTCGTGGCGGCAAACTGGCCAGGAAAGCCGGGCACGAGGACGAGCCGGTCTCTGTCAGGCGCACACCAATGCCCTTTGATGTTGGCAGCAGAACGTTACCCAAAGTCTTCCACCTCACCCATCCTTTTTGTAGGCTTTAGTTTGAACAAGAGGCATCCGAAGAAGTGGGTTGTAGCCCACGAAAGCTTATGCTCTAATAAATTTGTTAGTCTCTAAGGTGCCACAAGTACTCCTGTTCTTTTTATGGGTCTTACTGTGTCACGCTGCCTCTGGGTACTGTGTGATTGATCACCCGTCAATTGCAGATGTGACTGTCAGCCTCGGACCTGGCTTTGATCTTGTTTCAATTGCACCTTTGTTCTTTTCTTTTAGGGTGGACTCTTCTCACTTTGTCAGGGCTGTTGTCTGCATCTTCAGCCCTTGGTGTTTGCACTTCACCTTATGGGGACAGGCAGGGGCTGGAGGTTGATCCCATTATCCATGCATCCCTCACTCGCACATCTGAACTAAGTTAATAAGGTTACAGCAGGTTTTGCAAAATGGACTAAGCATTTCAAAATGGAGTTTTAGATACAATATGGAAAACACAATTTCATTCTTCAGCTCTACACCGCAGGCCTGGAGCCATCTCTTCTCGGGGGCGTGGTGGGGCCTTCCAGCGGGGAACAGCCGAGCCCATGGGGCAAATGCCGATGTCTTCCTGCCTGCACTTCGTGGGCAGCAGCTCCTCTACAGGACATATTCAAAGGGTTTAGGGGTGAGATTCTGTCTGCTCCCCCTGCATCCTTGTGCCAGAGCTGGGGTGTGTCCCCCACGCTGCCTTTCCCAGAGCTACTGTGCTGAGCTGGAGACTGGCATGGCCAGCGGGAGGAATATGGGGCTCCATCAGGGCGCAGAGCCGCAGGGAACAGAACCCGGGAGCCCTGTTGCTCTGACCACTAGCCCCTGCTGCTCTAAACCACTAGCTCCCCTGCCTAGCGCCAGGGCTAGGACCCTGGAGTCCTGGGTCCCGGGGGGGGGAGGGGAGGGGGGACCCCAGGTGACTAATGAAGAGACGGCCCAGGTGCCCGTTTTCACTCACACAGGTGCAATCGTGGAGTTTCTCAAGTAGGAACGCAGAGGCAGAATCAGGCCTGAAGTGGGCCCCCGCCCCACCCCCCGCAGCTAGCAAAGGCCTCTCAGCTGGGAGGGCTGCAGGGAGCTACCCCAGAGGGGTCCCGTGTTCCTGCCCCAGCTCCGGGAGGGGGCTACAGCCTGAGGTCCCTCTGCTTCCCTCTCTCCTGAGTGGAAGGAGATGGAGGTAGGGCTGGTTCCTACCCACCCTCCCGTTGCTACCCCCCCTTGCTGCAGCCTCAGCAGAGGAGAAGTCTGAATGGGCCCTGGGATGGAGCCCCCCCAGAGGGTCCCTCAGGGGCAGGGCCGAGGTGCACCGGGGGGGGTTGGATTCTGTGGGTAGTGCCCAAAATGCAGACAGCTGGGATTCCCCATGGCAAGGAGCTCACAGCCTGGCATGGGGGCGGGGCACTCGCCCACCCTGGCGCTGCAGCAGGAAGCAGGCTGACATGAGGTTTTTGCGAGAGGAGACTCTCCCCGGCCCCAGACCGGCCCCAGTTGCCCAGGCTATCTGCAGCGACGTGGCTGCCGGCAGGTGTCCCGCCGTGGCTCAGTGGCTCTGAGGAGGAAGGCTTATGTGAGCCAAAACCTCACCCACTTGGCTGGCTGAGTTAATCTCCCCAGGATGCAATTCCGTTCCAAACAGCCCCTTTGAGATCTCCTGTGCCCGACTCGTCTGCCTGCGCAGGGTCCCTCTGCCATCACCGCCTCCGTCCTGAGCAGGTGTGTGTTTGCACCGGTCTGGAGACCAGACAGGGAGCTGAGAGCGTACCTTGCACCGCCATTTACCCCACGGGAGAGTGTAGCTGTTCTGACCTGGGGGGCGTTTCACGGGTGTCAACGAAGTGCTGGGGGGGACGGAGAACGGGGCCCCGAGGGGTTTAGGTGAGGGTGGCAGCACTGGGAGTCAAACCCAGAGCTCCAGGAATGGGGGTGGAAGCCTCCACCACAGCCAGGTTCCTTTCTGGGCCGCCACCCCACCTCTGACCCCTCTCCCTGCTCCTAAGGGCTGAACTAGGCAATTTTTCTGCAGAGCCCTGGAGCTTCCTGTTTGCGGCATTATAAAACCTCAGCCTTCGCTGCCTGTCCGCACTTGCGAAAAATCGCCTGGAGCACGGACGCAGGCTGTGGGGTCTGGGCACACGGGGTGAGTGCTTGCTTAGCTCTGCGCCACGGGCCCGGAGCCATCTCTTCTCGGGGGCATCATGGGGCCTTCCAGCGGGGAACGGCCGAGCCCATGGGGCAAATGCCGATGTCTTCCTGCCTGCACTTTGCGGGCAGCTCCTGTCCAGCCTCTCTGGCATTGTCATTCTCTCAGACAGGCACGAGTTGCTATGGATAGACTGGTTTGGCCTCGAAGCTTGTTGTTAAGCCGCTCGGGGCGTTGCTGAAAGTGGCCTGATCAAAGGAGGGTGTCTATCAGAATCCAGGTGAGACGGTGCCGCCCACGTTAAGTGCTGGGTCTGGGCTGGCGCTCCTAGATCATTTGCTTCCCCCCCCCCCCCGGGCCCCCTGGGCTCGCTCTGATAGTCTGCCCACAAATCACCCCACACCAGACCAGTCGTGTCCCAGGTCAAGATTTGCCTGTCGCGATGGCTGCATTTGGGGTGGAGCTTTAGATAGGCTGTGGGTCAGTATGTGAGTTGTTGGAACGGTTTCGGGGTTGGTCCGTGGTGTGGCAAGCCTGTTCCGTTTGATGCTGACAGCTCAATTCCTAGCACCCGCGCCCGCTCTTCTCTAATGGGCAACTCGTCACTGCCGTAAAACAAGGCTTAGGCTGCCTCTGCACGAGTGAGCTTTTTGGCATGAATGTAAAGTGGTGCAGTTATACTGGGGTCACCCCCGTGTAGACACACTTATTCCGCATCAGAGCAGCAGCTTTCAGTGTAGTTGTGGTTGCTTGGGAAGGAGTTGGAGCTAACCGGAAAAAGCCGCTCTGATACTGGACTCAATGCCCCTCGGCGGCTTACCCCCGTGTAACTCGACTGATGGAACCGGTCACACGTTCCTGTGTGCACCAGGCTTGAGACTTCCCCTGCACCAGGGATTTTTTCCCAGTTCCGTTCTCTAGTTCAGTTAAAATTGTTTAAGTCACTGTTTTTGGCAGCTAGGGGCTTGGGCTGCGTTTAACCCAGCCTGGTTGGATCGGTGTACAACCACACTGCTCTGCCAACTAGCTCCGATACGTGTCTGGTGCCAGGGCACCCCCACACCCTGAGCTGTCCATCCCCCAATAGTTATGACCACCCAGCCTGCTTCGAGCCCTGGCAGGAGGGCTCCTGTGTTTACGAAACTCTTCCTTTGGGAAATTGGATTGCTCTGTGGCTAGAAACTCCGCAGCATTGGAGCTGCCATCTGCTAAAGAGCCTCATTTCTGCATGTTTAGCTTCGTTAGCAACTGTACATGCTGACGCGCCATCACCTGCTCTGGCCACTAGACTCCACTGCCCTCCCAGAGCTGGGAATAGACCCCAGGAGTCCCGGCTCCCAGCAGCCCCTGGGTAGCCAATAGCTCCCGCTCCCCTCCCAGAGCTGGGAATAGAACCCAGGAGTCCTGGCTCCCAGCTCCGTGCTCTGACCCACTCCCCTCCCCGAGCTGGGGAGAGAATCCGTGAATCTTTGGTTCTGCTTTTGCACAATCACATTATTCTTGTCACCAGCCTAAAGCAGGGGGAGATGCCGAGCTCAGGCACTTACTGCTATCCACGTGGGGCCCAGCTCAGCGCAGCAACCTGCACCAATCAGACGGGGGTTTTCACCGAGGGCCCAGTCCTGTAAGCATTGCTGCCCATGCCTCCCGGATCAGGGCCCTTGCCCGGAGAGAGTGCTTTATAAATAGCAGTTGCTTTTTCCTTCCTGCCCCAATTACACGGCTTTCCTCTTTCATCACGGGAAGGACGTGACGTTGGGCAACTGGCTTCACAATGCAGAGTCGTCCTGCAACTGGGCACCCTAGGAGCAGAGTGCGGAGATGCTCGGGCCCAGGTCCTTAGCCTCCAATGGGCATTTGCTGGCCTGTGCGAAAGGCGCTGGGGGCCTCAGCCCAGTTCCCAAGGTGGAGCAGCCAGTCCGCAGGGGAAGGTCCCCCCCACAACGCCTGTCAGTCAGTTTAGATCCCAGCCACACTTCCTGAGTCCTTCCCAGCTGGACGCCAGGCGGTCCCATGAGCACAAATGTTCAGTCCTTTTTTAAAAATCCCGTTAAGCTCCTGGCCTCACAGAGATCTTATGTCGGTGAGTTCCACAGGCCAATCTGGATCTGTGTTTTAATACAACTATGCGGTTACGATGCCATTCCCGCAGAGTAGCAGGACGTGACTAGCCTTTGTATTTTATTGTTTGTTTACAGGATACAGACCCTGCTGCAGAATGAGCGTCACCGAGTTGTATGGTGACTACGATCCTGACTTTACCTTCATTGCGCCCACCTTCGACCCGCCGGATCCACAGCCTTTCCAGCTGACCCCCATCCTGTGGGCGTCTCTGGTTCTCTACTCCCTCGTCTTCCTGCTGGGCGTGCCGGGGAACGCGGCTGTCATCTGGGTGACGGGCTTCAGGATGAAGCGCACGGTGAACACCGTCTGGTTCCTCAACCTGGCGGTGGCTGACCTACTGTGCTGCCTGGCGCTGCCGTTCCTGGCCGTGCCCGTGGCCCGCGGCAACCGCTGGGTGCTGGGTGACTTCGCCTGCAAGCTGCTGCCATCCCTCACCATCCTGAACATGTTTGCCAGCGTCCTGCTCCTGACGGCCATCAGCGTGGACCGCTGCGCCCTGGTGACCAGGCCCGTCTGGTGCCAGAACCACCGCACGACCCGGCTGGCCTGGGGCGTGAGTGGGGCAGCCTGGCTCCTGGCTCTGCTCATGACCCTCCCAACCTTCATCTTCCGGAAGACCAAGGAGTTCTCAGACAAAGTGATGTGTGTCCTGGAGTACGCTCAAGTGGCCAGTTACCAGACCACCATCGAGGTGTCTGTCGCTACCTTCCGCTTCGCCGTCGCCTTCCTGGTCCCCTTCGTGGTGATCGCCACCTGCTACGGCCTGGTCCTGGCCCGCGTCCACAGGAGCCGTTTCACTCGCTCGCGCAAGACCATTAAGGTCATTCTTGTGGTGATCATCGGCTTCTTCGTGTGCTGGCTCCCCTACCACGTGGTGGGGCTGATCCTGGCTGCCACCAAGTCCAGAACGAGCCTGTACAAAGGCGCCTCTGAGTCCGACCCCCTGATTGTGGGTCTGGCCTACGTCAACAGCTGCCTCAACCCCGTCATCTACGTCATCATGGGCCAGGACTTCAAAGACCGGTTCCAGCGCTCGCTGAAGACCATCCTCCACAACGTGTTGAGCGAGGATTCGTTCTCCGTGGGTGACGGCAGGAAGAAGACCAGATTCACGCAGGAGACCAAGTCCACGATGGAGGACCGGAGCATCGGGGTGTGAGCTGGGGAACGGGCCCCCGGCAGCCCCACCGTGAGCCGGGCTTGTGACATGTCAGGCGACGGCTGCCTCCCCTTCGCTCACTGTCGTTACACTGGGGGGTTCGTGCAGGGCGCACAGCCGTGCGGCCACCGCCCCTGCGCCCCCCAGGCCCTGCAGGCTGTGGGGTGGGGCAGACGGTGATTTAATGCACAAAGTGCCACCTCTATATTTGCATATCTGAATAGTCATGCTCTCATTCTCCTATTTCCCCATCATCCAACCCTTTGGTGCCTCACTCCCCTTCCTACCCTCCCAGCTCCTGCCTTGATTCCCCCCAATCTCCAGTTCCCCATGTCCCCCTGCCCCAAATTCCTTCTCCATCCCTTCCCCCAAGTCTGGCCCCACCTGCAACAACCCCTCTGCCATAGAGACGTGACTGGAGCAACACCCGGAATCGCTCTACAACCACATCTCTATGGCTACTGGCCACACTCTGGGTGGGTCTCCTGTCTGGCTAGGGTCCTCTCTGTGGTTGGAGACCTCCATGCACAGGGCCGGCTCCAGGCACCAGCTTGTCAAGCAGGTACTTGGGGGCGGCTGCTCCGGAGAGGGGCGGCACGTCCAGGTATTCGGCGGCAATTCGGCGGATGGTCCCTCACTCCGCCTGGGAGCAAAGGACCTCCTGCCGAATTGCCGCCGCAGATCGCGATCGCGGCTTTTTGTTTGTTTGTTTGTTTTGGCTGCTTGGGGCGGCCAAAACCCTGGAGCCGGCCCTGTCCATGCAGTGGGGTCTCCTGTCTGGCTGGGGTCCTCCGAGAGAGAACCTGCCTCCAGGAGGCTAACTATAGAGATGTGGCGTACGGAGCCTCACCCTCAGCTCTGCAGCTGTCCCAGGCAGGAGCCCTGCATTGGGTGCTTGCCAATCCAAGAGCCAGGCTGGAGCTGGTGGCCCTCGGCCTCGGCTCCTTTCTCCCAAGCTACAGGGGTAACTCCTCTGCCGGGCAGCAGTAGTAGCCTGTTACCCTCTTAGGCAAATCAGCCACAAGAGGGCGACAGAGACCCGCCCTCCCTAGCACGGGGCTTACGGAGACCCAGGGCTGCAGGGCGTGACTCTCCCTGCCCCTCATGCAGTCGTCGGCACCAGCCCAGGTTGTGAAGCACAGGTCGGAACGGGGCAGCGTTTGGGCACGCACTCTGCCTGGGTGCGGCCGAGCACCTGAGAGCCAGGCGCCCGCCCATGGGCATCCATGCAAGCAGCCCCCGTGCAAGCTGCGGCAAGCAGCATCCACCAGGGGAAGATTACGGGAGAGTTTCTACCCTCCCACCCCTGTTGCCAGAGGCTCGGAATTTTCTGTAACTTCCCCCTTTTAGGGCTGGGATTTTGGGGATTAGGTTTTTGGAGCCAACCGCCCCTGCCCCACCCCCCCAGCATCCCACAGAGGCACCATCCCGGAAATGTTGGTGTTTTGGGTTTTGTGTCGTGGGGGAGGACGACTTGCAGGAAATCACCCTCCTGCTCCAGGGCACGAGCCAGCCCCTGACTGACTGGGCCAGGGAGAGACTTCGCAGGAGGTGACAGGTCTGAGTGCACCTCTGCCAGGCCCAGGCCTGGGACACAGCACCTGTGCTGACCCAGGGGGGCTGAGTGAGTCCTGGCACCTCTGGGCTTCCCTTTGGGAGCCGGTGCCCAGCAAGCCAAAGTATTGTTTTAACCATAGGAACAAACATTTAAAGGGGGAAAGGGTTTTAAAAACACAGTCTGCGACCATTTCTCTCCTACCTAAAACCATTCTGCAATGGGGATCTAGACAGGGCCGGCGTCTGAAGTTGCCCCAGCGGCTCTTGCATGTCACCCTGGCCCTCCAAACAGCCCCCCCCCCCCCCAGGAGACGCTTGTTACAAACGCTCGAGTCCCTTTGCTCGCGGGCGTGCACAGGCCTCGGGCTGGCCTGGCGCTATCTCCTACCAGCACTCAGGCATTTGCTGGGTAGTGGCTTATCTTGAGCTGTCCTGCGTCCTTCCTGCTGGTTTGTGCGGCCAGACACCGATTGAACAGAACCAACAGCTTCACCTCACAACGTCCACAGACAGCGGCCATCCCTTGTCAGGGCTCGGCTCCAGCTCCGTCACCCCTCGAGTCTCGTCCCTGCACACCGGCCTCTGGCGCAGCTGGGACTGGCTGGGCAGACGTAGCGTGAGTCCTGCCCTGATCCGTGGGCCCAGAACCCCCCAGGAGGTCTCAGCATGACCCTTCCTCCAGCCCCGTGTGATTGTGCATTGCTCCCTCGGGGCCTGGCAGCCCCGGTCCCTGCGGCGCCCCCTCGGCCCAGGGCTGAGGTCCCCCTGCCCCGGCAGATAAACAGGTGGCTCTGTGGCTTGCTGCTTGGCTCTCTGCCTTCCTCCATTAGCCTGTACGGGGCTCTGCTTACCCTGGGCGAGGCCCCTCCGTCGCCCGCTGGGTCAGCGCCAATGTGATCCTGGGGGTATTTCCAGGTTTGCCATAAACACAGACGTGGCCGCTGCCCGGTCTCTCCTTGACTCTTGCTGTGACGATGAGTGTGGGGAGTCTGGGGGGGCATGAAGCCACCTGGTTATTTGCCGGGGTGGGGGGACAAGGCACCCGAGGGGCTGGGAATGGGGCTGCCACGCCCTGAAGGGAGGGTTGGGGTGTGTGTTTCATTTAGCAGTTTATGGCGCTGTCCACAAGGCTGGGCTTCTCGGGGGGCTGGTTCTGCACACACTGTCCAGAGGTCTCTCTTTGCCAGGGTCCCCTATGCAGACCAATTCATGCACCACACAGCGGGGGTCCTTCGGATTCCCGCCCCCCCAGCGCGCGGTGCTGCTCCCAGGAGCCCCGAGTAACCGCTCCCCGTGTTCAGTGAATAAACGTGCCTCTTTGTCGCTGCGTTGGAGTTTGTGTCGGGATGTTGGGCTGGTGCTTCTGGGTTAAAAACTGAAAAGCAGAAGCCCTGTTCATAGCTGAGCTCACCAGCGCTGGTGTTTTCCTGGGCGTCTGCCGTGGGACGTAGCTGGAGACAGCTGCATGCGGAGCCATGGGGCGGGGGCAGGCCATGAAAGCAGCGTGTCTGAAAGGCACCACAGGCTGGGTGCCTGGTGGGGTCTGGGGTCCGATGAGCGGAGGGTGAGGGGCTTCCCTCTGCCTCAGTCCGTGGCCCTGAAGCACACCGAGTCGGGTGCTTCCCAGTGGATGCGGAGCGTGACGTTCCCTGGCCCCAGGACTCTGATCCCGCGGTCAGATCCGGGCTGGTGCAGGGGGGTCACGACCCAAGGAGCCCAGCCGCTGGGTGCTGGGGGCTTTTCGATGTGCCACAAGCGAGGGAGCGGCAGGGGCAGCACAGAGACCTGGCTATTCTCAGGGACAGCACACGCTGGCCAGGAGGGTGCAAGCAGAAACATCTCCAGTGAGTCTGTGAATTATGTATGTTCCATTCTATGCATCCGAAGAAGTGGGCTGTAGCCCACGAAAGCTTATGCTCAAATAAATGTGTTAATCTCTAAGGTGCCACAAGTCCTCCTGTTCTTTTTGCGGATACAGACTAACACGGCTGCTCCTCTGAAACCTGTGAATTATGGTCGCACCTAAAGGCCCCAATCCTATCCTGGCCCCCCATTGTCTTAGGGGTTGTAAAGGACGGGCCCCTGCCCCCACCGCCAACAAATCCAGAGCCCAGCTGAAAGGTGGCTGATTTGGTTACACACCTGACCCGGGGCCAGCAGGATCTGGGGGGGGGGGGGGGGCCGTTTGGCAGTTGTGCCCAGGCCTCTCCCCCACCCCCCAGGGCAGTAGCAAGACACTAACCCCAGTTCTCGTTTCTGGTGTTTATTTGGAGGCTGGTCACAGGACAGCTGGGGAATGTTCTTGCTGCCCTAAGCAAACCGGCAGCTGCTGACGCAATCAGCCCCCGCACCCCTGCCCAGAGTGGCAGCTGTCCCAGCTCATACTCGGCCGTGGGGGGGTGTGGGGAGCTGTAGGAGTTAGAAATGCAGAAATGCCGGGGCTTGTGCAAGCGGCTGTGGGCTGTTGCAGAGGTTCTGGGTGGAGTTCCTAGCACACCAGCCCCTGGGGAAGTGGCCCCCATCTCCGCTCTGTGGAGGGCTACCAATCCCCCTGCTTCGGGGCCGGAGCTGACCCCTCACCGGGCAGGGGCGGGATGGAGGGCACGTTATCCCATCACCGTCTCTGCAGCAGTGGGCAATGGCCTCTATTGAAGACTGGGCTAGAGGGACCCTGGGCTGGTCCAGGCTGGCCACGCCCTGGATGCTGGGCATTGTGAATTTGTCAGGTCTCTGCGAGCACCGCTAAAGCCCCCTTCTCCCTCTGGGGGACCTGGGCTCTTGGTCGGTGTTGGGGGTGAGTGGGAGCTGCCCTGTGGGATGCTGGGAAGATCCTGCTCCAGCCCCGGCTGTGATGCTGCAGAGCAGCCAGGCACCGAGTGGGGAGTCTCTCACCAGCGCATTTTGACAGGGCCCCCGGCCAGCCCTGCTCTGAGGAGCAGCCAGGGCTGCCCAGAGGGGGGGCAAGTGGGGCAATTTGCCCCAGGCCCCGCAGGGGCCCCCACGAGAATATAGTATTCTATAGTATTGCAACTTTTTTTATAGAAGGGGCCCCCGAAATTGCTTTGCCCCAGGCCCCCTGAATCATCCCTGGCACCGTCTGCGGCTGTGTCCGTGACACGCCTTGTTCACGTGTGTGACAGCTGAGTGAGCAACCTCCTCTACCCCGGCCCCGACAGCCTGTGCTCGCCTCTGCCCTGCCTGGGCTGCGGCATTGACGGGGGAGCCCTGGGCCGGGACTGCGTGGCAAACACAGGGAAGAGCCCAGAATGGCCCATCACCCCACCCTGATGCCCGACTCTGGCCAGAGCCCCCCGCAGCCCCTCCCTGCCGCGCCTCCGGCCCGTTCTGCTGCCGCTGCAGAATTCCCAGCTTCCCCATCTTCTGCAGCTTAGCTTAGCTTCCTCCTCCCGGCAGCCAGGCCCCATTGCCCAATGCTCTGGTGTGATGCAAAGGAAACCGCAGGGCCAGCTCCAGCTGGGCCTGGGTCTCTTCAGGGACGGGCATGTGGGGCAGGGGGTCCTGTTAACGCTTCGGTGCCCTGGGCTGAGTTTTCCCTTTATGCGGCAGGGAAGCAGCGACGACTCCCACCCACGGAGCGCAGCAGCGGCCGGCCCACGCCTGGGTGGGGACAGCTTGGAGCCGAAGCCCCAGCAGAGGCGGGTGAGCCAGTGGGGAAGGCACCGGGCTGGGACTCAGGAGACCTGGCTCTGCCACCGACGCCCACTGCGACCTGGGGTGAGTAACTCCACCTCTCCAGGCCTCGGCCCCCTGCTGCCGTGTGGGGAGAACGAGCCCTCTTCTGTCCGTTTGCATTGCCGGCTCTTTGGGGCAGAGCCTGTCTCTCACTCTGTGTGCAGCCCCTGGCACAACTGGGCCCCAGTCTCAGCTGGGCGCGCTGAGTGTGACTGCGTCAGTCACTCCCCCACTGCTGCAGGCCAGGGGGACGTCAGAGCAGGGCCCCGTCCCATGCCAAGGCAACGCCCAAGGTGGCAGGAATTAGCCCTTGGAGCGCCACAGAAAGGGGGGGCATTACTGCATCCACTGGGCCGTGGGCAGAGACTCCTGCAGCAGGGTCCCCCCGGCCGGGATGTGGCTGCGGCATGTACATGGTGTGGGGGGATTTTATCCAGCAGGCAGGAGTCCCGGCTGTGGCTCTGGGTGTCTCTAACCCACAGAGAAATCACGGGACCTGGAACTGCTGAGCCAGGGGCTGGTTGGTGAAATCATTCACGTGGCCTCGTCGGGCTCTCACGGCTCCTCCAAGCGTGGGACCAGCCTCTGGCTCCCCCCCCCCCGCTGGGGGTGGGACCCCCCCCCCAGGTCTATGCAAAGATACATCCAGGCCTGGCTGGCTCCTGCAGCGAGCACCGGGCCTTGCGGGGATGGTGCCATTTCAGAGCAGAAAAGGGAGAGAATTTTATTCAACCCGAATTTGGTTTTCAGGGGGCGGATCCTGCTGCAGAATGAGCGTCACCGAGTTGTATGATGAGTACGATCCTGACTCGTACTTTAACTTCACTGCGCCCGTCTTCGACACGCCGGATCCACAGCTGACCCCAGTCCTGTGGGCGTCTCTGGTTCTCTACTCCCTCGTCTTCCTGCTGGGCGTGCCGGGGAACGCGGCTGTCATCTGGGTGATCGGCTACGGGATGAAGCGCACGGTGAACACCGTCTGGTTCCTCAACCTGGCAGTGGCCGACCTACTGTGCTGCCTGGCGCTGCCGTTCCTGGCCGTGCCCGTGGCCCGCGGCAACCGCTGGGAGCTGGGTGACTTCGCCTGCAAGCTGCTCCCATCCCTCACCATCCTGAACATGTTTGCCAGCGTCCTGCTCCTGACGGCCATCAGCGTGGACCGCTGCGCCCTAGTGACCAGGCCCGTCTGGTGCCAGAACCACCGCACGACCCGGCTGGCCTGGGGCATGAGTGGGGCAGCCTGGCTCCTGGCTCTGCTCATGACCCTCCCAACCTTCATCTTCCGGAAGACGCACGCCGAAGCGTTCTCAGACAAAGTGACGTGTGTCCTGGAGTACGCTCAAGTGTCCAGTTACCAGACCGCCGTTGAGGTGTCCGTCGCTTCCTTCCGCTTCGCCGCCGGCTTCCTGGTCCCCTTCGTGGTGATCGCCACCTGCTACGGCCTGGTCCTGGCCCGCGTCCAGGGTAGCTGCTTGGTCCGATGGCACAGGCCCACGGTGGTCGTGCTGGTAGTGATCGTCGGCTTCTTTGCCTGCTGGCTGCCCTACCATGTGGTGGGGCTGATCCTGGCCGCCCACAGCCCCAGTGCTCGTCTGTACAAGCTGGCAGACGCCACCCAGCCCCTCGTCGTCAGCCTGGCCTACGTCAACAGCTGCCTCAACCCCATCATCTACGTGGGGATGAGCCGGGGCTTCCGGGGCTTGGTGCAAAGCCGCCTGGCTGACATCCTCCAGGAGGAGGGGGCAGACCTAGGGGGTGAGGCCCAGGCGCAGCTCACCTCCACGAGCAGCGGGCAGGTTTAGGTCCATGGGGGTCCCCCAGCTCGGGCGGGACCAGGAGAGCAGGGGACTGGACTGGACTGAGCAGGCGAGATGCTCGCACCCCGGCTGCTGTGCACTGTGGGATGCTGAGATGCTGTGCCCTGCGGGTACCACGTCTGTGCCTTGCGTGGTCGCTGAGGGAGTCTCTGCAGAGTCGGCTGGAGGGGGCAGTAAGATCTGCTGCCCCCCGAGCATCCTGCAGCCCCTCAGCGAAGGGGCTAGCTCCGTATTACCACTGAACTGCTCCGACTGGAAGCTCTGGGGGCAGGGACTGTCTCTGTTCTGCATGTGTACGGTGCCGCTGCAATACAGATCATCCATAAATCACGGCCTTGTGGCGATCCCTCTCCTGCCCCCTTCCTTGGCTGGCCTGTGGGAGCCCGGAGCATAGGGCTGCGTGTGCCCGGCCCCGATCCCTGCCTCAGCAGAGGTGGGCAAACTACGGCCCGCGGGACCCTCCTGCCCGGCCCCTGAGCTCCTGGCCCGGGAGGCTGGCCCCGGCCCCTCCCCTGCTGTTCCCCCTGCCCCACAGCCTCAGCTCGCCGCGC